AGGGTGTTAGGGTGTTTTAGGCGTCTCTCGCATACTTTCTCTTGAATACAAAGACAAGATTTTCAATATTAATATATCTTAAGATCCGATATATATATATATAAATAAATATTCTTTTTAAAAATCATTTGCAGTTCAACTCTCTCGATTTATCAAAATTTGTCAATTTGTAGTCGTTTATCAGTGAAAAAAGTTTTTAGCACATGTTTAAATAATTGCAATCGAGAGAAAATGCACGAGAGTATACATATGTATACATGTGTGTATGTACATATACAGATACATACATACACGCACACACACTCATACGTTTATATGCATTCAATTTTAATAACGTAATTTATTTTTAGCTCCTTTTGTTCACTGCACTGTTCCCATATTTTTTCTTATGTCCTTTCACACATTGCTTTATTAGTTTTCATTTTAACCTCACGCAATACAAGTCCGAGCCGAACCACATATACGGTTTGTATATATTACTGGAACGATGATAAACTTTGATTGTTCGTATTACAAAAACTACTCCTGCTGGGTTATGTCAATCCTTATTCATATACAAAAGAGATTAATTATATAGTAGGTAATCCTCAGTGTAATCGACAATAGACTGTACATCTCAATAACACACGGAGCATGTCAATTCTCTCTAATAACAACAAAAGAGATTATCACATTAGTATGAATCTCAGTAAGGAAGGTTAAATCAGAACCTTTATTGTTACTACAGCATCAACAGCATTAACGTCATCTCCGGCGCTCGAAACTCTTATACATTCTGGCTCTCCCTTTTATGAAAGTATCAAAAATATCCTTTCCAACACTCATCCCCCAACAGACAACGAAAATTACGATACATCGTCTCGATACTAAAAATCAATAAAAGTATAACTAACTTATCTAAGGTAGAGCTCACCTGCTCTTATGCAGGTCTCCTTGACTAAGATTCGTTCTGTCCCCTTTTTTCCAAAAAAAAGAAAAAAAACGTAAAAAGATTAAGAAAAGAAAAAATCATGATCAAATATAATAACAAAGATCGTCCTGCTTAAGCGCTAAATCGAGTTCAAGATGTAAAACTAAGTAAAATTTATAAATATGGTACAATTGATAGTAAGCGATAGAGCAATAATAGATTAATTATAGATACGTATAGGTAATAGCATTGTGTGTGTATCGTTGAATCCTATGGCGATTTTTTTGTTATTTAAGTTCCCCGCTTAATAGTAAAGTTGAGGATTGAATTAAACATTTGTGTTTTCATGTGTTCGATTTGATGAGCGAATCTCGTTCAGTCGAACAATTCACCGCACGCATCAATCACCATTGCGGACTAGCAGCCACCTTGACTAGCTTCTTTTTTTTAAATTTCTGCCATTTCTTGCCATTTCAATCCCATTGAGGTAAATCTCCTCTGGGCCAGCATCTTGTTCCACTGTGCTCCGCTAAGTTCAACAGGTACGAATCAATCTCCAGGATGTTCGGGGCAGCTACGATTTACTTGAAACCACTTATCAATGCAGCTAAAAGAAACAAATCACAAATTTTATATATACATATATCCTATCACATGCGAATGATAATATAATATATTATTTAATTAATTATTCAAGTAATTAATTTTTTATTTTAACGTAATTTCATTATATCTTTAATATTTAAAAATTAATAATACTTTTGTAATTTAGTAATATTATATATTTTTCTTATTACATTTTTTGAAGCAATCAAATAAATCTTTATTACTGGTAAAATTTTTGTCAGCAAAGAATGAGAAAAAAGTAACAGACATCATGATACATACTTTTTGTGATATATACAAAGACAGGGCAAGCGAGCTATAAGATCACCAGATTGTAACTCCTCAAGGCAAATGACACATTCACCCTTACCATCCGTTAGCACATCCTCTGTCATATAAACAAGTAACAAGATACTTCATTACCTTCCTAACAATTATTAATAAAATCTATATTAAATAGAATCACTTACATTAAGTATGTTAAATACAACAATAAATATTAAATATGTATGAAAAAAAAAAAAAAACTGCTCTCAAAATAATGATTCGCTGAATAGAAATAGAATTTATCGCGTTTACCAAATAATTACAATTTTATCACATTCGGTAGCATACCATTGTAACTGAGCCGTGGCTTGGTCAGGCACATGACCAGGTGACATTCTATATCATCCGGTAGGATAAACTTGGAGCATACGGGACACTTTAGACCTTGAACATAGGCGAAGAATCTCAGAAAAATTTTTCGGAGAAAAGTGTCAATGATAAGGGAAGAGGAGGGAGAGGGAGAGGGAGAGAGAGAGAGAGAGAGAGAGAGAGAGAGAGGGGGGGGGAGGAGAGGGAAGAGATGCAAGGTTGACGGAAATGTAAAACAATGTGTTCAGAAATGAAAAAAAAGATATAATACCATAAAAGACCCTTCTCACTCGGTTCACCGGGACCACGGCCTCAGCTTCGTGCTCGTTCAAACACGAGCTCACTATAATTCCCATAATAGACCCGACATAACCTCAGCCGTGACCCGCTGTCCCGCGCGGCGATCCTCTCCCGAGACGCATTTTTCCTTTCTCTCCCACTTCACGCGCCGACAATCTCTCTCTCTCTCTCTCTCTCTCTCTCGCGAGTTTTCCTCCGTCTTTTCTTCCGATATTTATCGCTCAGGCCAGCGTTCACCCTAGACCGCTTTTGCGCGGCCTCAAGCCCAATTCATCGATTGTGGTATACGCGGTTACCGGGCCAACCACCCCGGCAACCACGCGTCAAAACAAACGCCCCCTCCCCTCCCCTTCCATCCCACCCGCGAATCATCGTCCGCGCATCAACTCCGTTCCTTCCACGCAAAGTTTCCTTCGGCGACATAACCTCTCACCCCTTACGCGGCGCCTGCCTGCTCGCAATTAGGTTAGAGACGAGATTGACGTTTTCCGAGCACGGTGAAACATCGAATGACTTTTGAAACGTGCCGTACGTCGTCTTATCTAAACAATCCTGTCGTTACGAATCAATATGCGTCAACAAGAAAGGCGATTAGCGAGGAATTAAAAAAAATATCTCTATTTCAACAATAACGTTCGCTCTATCTCTCTCTTCAAAGGCAGAATACTGGAAGTACTCGTCATGATTTATGCAACAAAAGATAGAATAATGATGTATATGTTAATTTTCTCAGCACGCGTCTCGAACGTAGAATAAATTTATGATACACTATGTAGAATGTATACGCAATAAAGAAATTTTATGAGCAATTGTAACCTGAAAGCAGATAGCTTCTAAGGCTTGTAGGTAAACAGATAAAGGTATACAAGGGCCGGTTGTTCCAACTTTTTGATAGATTTACCCGTCAATCACCCATTAGATAAATATCAATAATTATTGTTTCATCTATTGTAAAGTTTATCTATGGGTTAAATTGTTATT